TTGGTCATAAACCAAATTTGTCATAGAACGTTTCGTGACTGAACTCTGAGAAGTTAGAAAGTTTATGGTTTTCATCTGCATCCTGTATTGAAGTCAACAGGGAGGCTTGCATAAAGGAAAACAAATGTAAATCGTCCCTTTGTGGAGATGGGGTTTACCCCGTGCGCAAAATGTAAACATTATTTACAGAAAGGAAAACGTCCTGTTCTTAGCGGAATTCTTTTCACACTCGCTGTGCAAATTTAATTCGGTCGAAGTTCTCCTGGCGATATTTAGATAACTTTAGCTTAATTTATACCGAACGACGCGAATCATGTATTGTCAAGGCTCGTGCAGGGAAGATTTTAAGCTTTATGAAGCTCCAAAGAACAGTTATTTGGAGGTGCGTAACATCCAGTAAATGTATGATTTCGCCCCCTGTACCGTTGAAAATGTTGAATACATTTGTGTTTGTTGTAGCAAACTGTATTTTTGCGCTGTTAATCAACTTATCTAATTCCGGGAGCTGAACAAAACTTCAGAAAGACCACTTTCGACAGGCATCGTCAAATTTACTATATCATTATCATGGCCATTTCTCTTATAGACCGTTAACAAAGACTTTCCTTACCTTCGGAGCATTGATTTGTTTGGTTTCGTTCTTTGAATACACAGAGTTCGAGTCCTAAAATCACTTTTTCTCAGTAATACACCAGTGTTCTACCGCTGTTTGCTTGAAAGGTCTGACAACCACTACACGCTTACAAGGAAGAAGAAGAAGGAATAATTTAAATGTCTTGCTGTTTCCTGTCCAGCTGGCTTCGATAATCAATAAATTTAATCCGCGTGAGAAGTAGAAAGATATGCAGTATTAATATTTAATTCTTTGACGTCTCTTGCGCGCGTAGCTAGGCTTGACTTGAATTTTAAGACCTTTAAAGTCCGCCTACTTTCTCTTGTATGCGGTCACCACACTGTCATAGTTCACTTTAGCTAACCGATCTTCTAAAGTGGTGGCTTTTAAGATAACTGAAAGGTTTCTGATAAGATTCCTTGCGGAAAATTTACGTATGTCATACTAACCAAATATTTATTGAATTTTGAAGGTTAATTGCGGTAAATTTAGCCAAACATTCTTCACTCTCTTAGTTCTTGAATAAACACCTTGACACTTGCTGGGATAAGGAGAAAGTTGGAAAGAGTATGCGTGAAATATTTAAAGACTTAGTTGTGTCTGGAAAGGTTACTTAAAAAAAGTGAGATTTTAATCAAGAAAGCATATCTGATTCTACGTACCAGCGCCCCGATTGGTGAAACCCTATCGTTTATTGCTTCAGTAAACCCTTTGAAAATCGAAGATCATTTTATAAAAGCAATATGTTCGTGCGCCTCCAGCTTGTCATTTACAAACTTTTCTCGTGTTCTCCCGACACCCCGCGGAGGTGTTTACACCGGTAAACCGATTGAAGTTGTGGTCTATTGCTTAAAGAGTTAATTGAAAACATTCTGAGATCACTTTATGATCGGTATCTTGCAACCTGCTAATGGTTTCGCCCTCGAGGCTTGCGCAGGTTGTGAACTCCGCAGTGCCTAAAACACTCCCGTAGAAATGGTTAAACAATGATATTACTAAGAAATAATTCAAAGCCACCCGAGTAATCTGATGGACTAACACAATGGATAGACAGCTTATCTGCGAAGGACTCTGCAGCTGAATACACCAATTTCACATGCGATTGATTCACAGGGGGCCCACACAAGCGGCCCACACAAGCGGCCCAGACAATCGGCGTGTCTGGTCGTTTGTTCGAAATATAAAGAAATGTATGGGAGAATATTGAAGAGTCGTAATATCGTAAACTTATATCAAGGAATGTCTATGTTAACGCTCAAAATAAATGTAAACCTACCTCACTTGTTGTGTATTGTCGTTTCTGTGGTTCTAAATGGCGAATTTGAGCGATTTGGTAGATTTTGCGTCGACTGTTACTTTACTGTATAAAAAGGAGACATTCTTTGATATAAGTTTACGATAGAAGCATACAAAGCCCTTCAGTTCGGTGACACGTTGTTCTTTGTGGACAGCGGATAGAGTCTGGTAATTGAAGGACATTTGCCAATAACGTTATGTCCTGTTTTCGCACTCTGAACTCCGCTAAACACTCTGATTCATCCATCTGGTCGAAATCAAACTTAGGGCATGAGCTGTAAGGGAATTCTGGATTCTTGGAACTGTAACTTTCGTACAAGGTCAAAAATTCTTCGTTACTGATGATTTTACTATCGTACAAAAAAAGAAGCAGATTTCTCATCTCACTGAAGGATGACATGCTCTCACACAGCTTATCTTAAAAGCGAACGGAGTTTGCTACCCACGTCGCCGCCGCAAACCTCGTCTAGCTGCTTAAAGTTTATATTTTGGCGGGAACGACGTTGTTCTCTTCCCAGGCTCTTTCGGTCGCTAAAGTTGCCGTTGCCTCTAAAACGACCTGATAACTTAGGGCAAATGCAACACCTGTATTCGAATGAAAACCGCTGGTCATGAATAATGCAACAACAATCTGTCCTTGTTCTACAACCAGAAACCAAATAAATGTCACATGACTTTCACGGGAAGTTGCATTCGACTACAGAGAAAGAATATGGCAGTAGGAAGCATTTGTGCGGCATTTTTTCTTGCCTGCACTGGCCTTTGCACCGCTAAACCGCAGGAGTTCGTGTTCCTGGAAAGCAGTCACGATGTGGAAGCTTGGCGAGAGGAGAGTTGGGAGAAAGTTGAACGACTTTCCCCATCGGAAGATGTTTTTCTTACCTTCGCCCTCAAGCAAAGAAACTTAGAATCGCTCGAGCGACATTTCTGGAAGGTCTCCGATCCCAGATCTTCTGAATATGGCAAACACTTGTCGTTATCCAACCTGACGCAGCTTATATCACCATCTGAGGCAACTACTTCTGCAATCAACGCATGGCTAAGAAGACATGGCATTCGTCAAAGCGACTGCACGACTACTCTCACCGGAGATTTCTTGACCTGCCGAATGTCTTGTGCAGCTGCAGAGTCCCTTCTTGTTGGGGCGAAATTTCACCGTTTCAGACATCCAAAACTAACACGGCCAGTGATTCGCTCGACTCATCTGTACAGTGTCTCGAAGATAGTGTCTCCCCATTTGGATTTCGTAGGCGGGGTGCTTCATTTTCCGGCGGTGAATGGTCCATCCTCACCCAGAGTAAATGAGTACGCGTTCTTCGAGACCGAGACCAAACCATCGGTTAGCGGCCAGGTACACATCGGCGTCTACCCAAGTGTTTTACGAGAGCGTTATAATGTTTCTGATGTCGTTGGCACCCATCCCAAAAACTTACAATCTGTAGCACAATTTCTGGAACAGTACTACAGTCCCTCTGATTTGAAGGAATTCTTAGCTTTGTGGGGTGGTTCTTTCAAGCATCTGGAAGAAATGGCCAAAGTTATTGGGCCTAATAGTGGTCGCTCTGGCATTGAAGCCAGTCTGGACACCCAATACATCATGAGTCTTGGTGCAATGGTGCCTACTTGGTTCTGGAGCACTGGTGGGCGACATGAGTCGCAAGAGCCCTTCCTGGAATGGCTCATGGATATCAGTAATCGCACAGAGGTACCCTGGGTGCATAGTGTCAGCTACAGTGATAATGAAGACACACTCGATGTCACCTACATGAACAGAATTAATGTTGAGTTCCAGAAGGCTGGTGTCCGAGGACTCACCTTCCTCTTTGCCAGCGGAGACAATGGTGCTGGCTGCAAGAAGAAGAAGTTTCGTCCCATGTTTCCATCGTCGTCCCCTTATGTTACCACCGTTGGTGGAACAGCATTCAATGATCCTTTCACTGTGTCTGGTGAATATGCCTACGATATAAGTGGTGGTGGATTCAGTAATGTATTTGATCGGCCCTCTTACCAAACTGATGTTGTGGAGAATTACCTTAAGACCGGGCCACACATCCCTGCAGCATCTTACTTTAATCAAACTGGACGGGGTTTCCCTGACATTGCAGCTATATGCAATCACTTTTGGATTGTCAACAATAGAATTCCCGTTCCAGGGGTCATGGGAACATCAGCTTCAACACCAACTGTGGCTGGTATCATTTCATTGGTGAATGATGCACGTTTCCAACGAGGGAAATCTTCCCTAGGATTTTTGAATCCTTTCCTGTATCAGAATGCTGCAGCAATGTATGATGTTACAACAGGCAATAACAAGGGTTGTCTTGAGGGAGACACTGGATTCTATGCTGCGACTGGTTGGGATCCTGTGACAGGCTCAGGTAGTCCAAACTTCCCTGAGTTGGTCAAGGCTGCTCTAAGTAATCAATGAAATTTTTTTAAAAAACAATCTATCATTAACTAACCAGAAACACTGGGATGCCAGGGGATTGAAACAAATGCTGAAAAATAGGGTTTTTAGAGATAACACTTTGTATCTTGTCACTCTCGCACCAAAAAAAATTGTGGTACAAATGTTACAATTTTGTAGGTGCTTATTGTTGATAAGAGTTTTTGTGTCAAAATTTTTTTCATAATTAAAAGTCAATGTTGAAACTGCATTTGTATTTTGTGGTAAGTTATTGCAAGGACTATAGTTTTAGTCCTTTGTCCCTTGAACATTAGTACTCGATCAAACTATGTGACACTTCTGTTACTGAATATGCATATCAGACTGAATTGCATTACTGCTTAAGGTTGACCCTGTTTCTGTGGCATTAACCAACCAGATGCATTGTTAAAGGGGGTAAATTCTCAAAGAAGCTGCAGTTTTGCAATGTTGGAAGGTATTGCAAAATGATTTGGTCTGATGAGGGCTGTGAAGGCAAGGTGGCCTCATGGTTGGTGCACTCGACTCCAAAATGAGTGGTCCGGTTCGAGCCCCGGCCAGAACATTGTGTTGTGTTCTTAGGCAAGACACTTTACTCTCACAGTCCTTCTCTCCACCGAGGTGTTTAAATGGGTAGCGGCAAATTTAATGCTGGGGGTAACCCTGCAATGGACTGGCATCCCATCCAGGAGGGAGTAGAAATACTCCTAGTCGCCTCATGCTACAGAAACCGGAGTTAAGCACCGGCCTGATGAGCCACTAGGCTCATAAACAGACTTTACCTTTACCTTTACCTTTTTACCTGATGAGGGCTAAAGCTCAAAACATCAGCTATAAAGTCTGTTTACATCAGCCAATTCACATTATCAAGTCAGCTGATAAAGCTAAATCACAGATAGAATGCTTCTTGTCCTGGAGGGGATTGAAGTCCATTCCATTCCCCTCTTTCCCACCTCCCAGCAGCATTTCATAAGAGCTACATGTGACTCATTTACATTCCTAAGTGCAGAGGGGCACTGTCACAGAGAAGTGATGCCACCCAGAAGACAACATGTATACATACAGGTCAGACTCTGAACCAGATTCAGGGTCAAACGGGCTAACCATAAGGCCAGTATCTCCCCCACACTTTTCCACTGGAAAATGAAGAATTCTAGATTTTCTAGATTTTAGCACACAACTTGCAAACATTATGTTAATCACCCAGATGATATTTCAAAATTTTAATACTACATTTCGTAGGCAAGGCCTTACTAAGAAGTGTGGCTTTTCTTCATTGCATTGATAGGGATGTAACAAAACCCAACAGAGATCAGCAAAGTCAGCATTACCCCTTTCATACAATTCCAAGCAAAAAATGGACAAATATTGGAAAATCATTGACAACAGAAGGTCACTGGATCTAAGACATTTTCCATAAAGTGCTTGTAAAAGGCAATCCCATGTTGCTTTTATGAAAATGCACATCACTTCACTTGAAAATTGTTGTACCACAAATTGAGACACAAGAAATTTTGTACACAAAACTTTTTTCAGTTTTCTTCCAGGCACAATGTATCAGTTCATTCTGGGGTAGTCAGTGGAAAATGCTCAAAATTATTGCACCTACTGCATTTAGTTCTTTTTAACTGAGTGGGAGGTCTGTATGGGAGAATCTTGACTGAGGTTGCCAGTACAGACCGAATGCAGTGAGGTCTGTACCAGCCACCGAGGTCAAGATTTTCCCATACAGACCGACCTAGCTCGGTCAATAGATGTTTATTATATAGCTGTGACTTATATGCCAATTTTTTATATTCTTTGTACCTTTTTTTTTCTAGACTGGTCTAGATGCCAGTCTAGTTGGGAAAATCTAGACTGCTTTCAAAATTGATTTCAGCCAATCAAATTCGTGAATTCGGTAGTTTCCAGTCCTTGTGAGTCACAGCCATATAATAATGAACAGTAAAAAATCAAATCGGTTTTATGAAACAATATCAAGGAGAAAAAAAATGAAATAACTCTTAAGCCTTTAAGAGTGACTAGCATCAATTTCCTCCAACAATATTACCCTGAATGAAACCTTAGGGTCTTGAGAATAAAGGAAATGATCACCAACTAAAGAAGCTCTTGATTGTTAAACAAATTCTCCTTCTCAGCACCTTAGGGAATGTATAGAGAACAGTATGGAGAATATACATACTGATGTTAGGGAGGAAAGCACCTTAGGGAATGTATAGAGAACAGTATGGAGAATATACATACTGATGTTAGGGAGGAAAGAGATAATGAGTGCTATCCATGGTTGATACTGCTTTGTAAGAATTCAGGAGGTAAAAAAAACCTGATAACTTTAATTGTTTTGATTTCTCAATCTTTCACCGTGTTACAAACAATATTCACAGGAAACATTTGTAGGCCAGCGAGTTACAACAGTTGTGTTGATTCAAACAGGGTCTTCCCAATTTTTATTTAACACCCAGGTATTCTAGTGTGTATCTGCTGGAAATGGCCTCATCTATGTTTGAATTGCATTTTATGCTCCAAATTTCCAGTATTATCGTTTTTTGTAAAGACATGGCTTAAGTCTTAAGCCCTCCAGTTTGCTGGCTGAAACTGACTTGCAGTGTTATCTTTTTTTGTAAAGACATGGCTTAAGTCTTAAGCCCTCCAGTTTACTGGCTGAAACTGACTTTCTATTGTCCTGAACCTTCACAAAATCAAACAGCACAAACATCTTGTTGGTAGAGTCCTAGGAGATAAAAAATAAATTAACCCATTGACTAGTTTAAAATTTTTGGCTGAGTAAATGTGATAAAAGAAAAATACTACATAATCTTCAACCAATTGGAGAGTACTGCTGTCATGGTAACCCATGCAGAAATAACATCATACCGAAGCATAATTTCACTGCTGACTGAAAAATAAAAAAAATAAAAAAAGGAAAAATAAAGTAGTGAAAATCACACCTCATTCTGCAGTTTAAATCCAATTCTAGTCAAAGACTTTACAAACTCAGATGTGTCATTGATACGACTCGCCACTTCAGCCACTTTTAGAATGCCTCTACAAGATAAATTACACCATCTTATTATTAGATGAGAATCTTGAATCTTAAACCTTTCTACTCCCAAGATCTTGTTCATAATTCTCCTAACTGTCTGCTTTACAATTCTTATGTTGGTTTGGAGAATTTGGTATTGCATCAACCAATAATCCCCTCATTGATATTTTTTCTTGATTCTCATCACTTGTCTGCTAGAGATTGTATTGATATGGTAAGGAGAAATTCTGTATTGGTCACTCATGGAAGTAAAAGAGTTATGAGCAGTGGTGGCTCATTGAATTTTCTGTACCTTCACCAATTTCTTGGTCAATGGAATCACCACAGCTTCATTGCAAATTGGGAGTAGGTAACAAGACACTACATGTAAGCACTTCTGTATGTAATGGTTAGGTTGGAAGGGGGTACTTTGAACAAATATAAATAAACAAGAGCTCTATTTTGCAGCCTAGAAGTGTACCAAGGTGTATACAAGGGAAGGAATCTCACAAAGTGCTGTACAGAAAAGCACACGTGAAAAAAAAATTCGTTAGGCTTGTAATGGGGTGATGAGAGAAAACTCTAGTAATCCAATAATAAGATGTAATCTTTGCTCTAACAAAGAACTTCTTATTGTCGACAAGTTATCCATAATACATTTGTGTAAAATCAAAAGAAAAAAAAGTTTTAAGTGTATAACTGTACCCTGGTTTGAGAACTCTGTGTGCTTCCCTCAAGAAATCAACAAGGTTGGTTCCCATCAATGAAAGACAGAAAACAGCAACATCCACACTTGCAGGGCTTAAGGGGACCTAAAATGTAAGAGACAATAATTCACCCTTTAGAGCCTAACATCAGAATGCATATTTTCCATACTATTAGCCATACATTTCCTAAGGTGCTGACAAGGAAAATTTGTTTAACAATCACAAACTTTTTTCGTTGGTGATCAGTCCTCTTATTCTCGTGACCTTAATGTGTGATTCTGGGATGATGTTATAGGGAGAAATTAGATGGTGTCATTTGTAAGCCAGGGTCAAAAGAGTTAAAAGCCAGCCACTACAGTTGAACCTTGATTATCTGGACTCGCTGGGGCTAGAAAAAATAGTTCAGATAATCGAGGGTCTGGATAATCGAGAATATTGAATATTAACAAAAAACAAAAACTGATTAAATCAACAAAGCAACATTTAATCATGAAACCAAACATTTACAAATCGTTTTTAAAAAAATAAGGTCACCGCACTAGCGAATAGATTGTGAAATCTTACTAAGCAACATAGCAACTCAAAGCGAATCAGACCTCAATAAAATGTTCTTCATTAGTTACAACACCTGTGAGCGCTGCTTTTGCTTTTTGAAAGTGAAACAAACTTGCCTTTACTTCACTTTTCTACGCTGTAGTTTTAAAATGAATATGGTTACAGAACTTGATCATGACCAATTAGGACCAGAGGAAAAGGCAGGGTAATCAAGAAATCTGGATAATCAAGGTCCAGATAATCCAGGTTTGACTGTACAGACTGATCAGAGTTAAATCTCTGCACTAACAGTAAATTAAAGACAACACTGACTTTTTCACCTTTGCCATGTCGCATGCTGTAATAAACTTGTTCTTGGCAACAAGATCAAACGAATGCACTTTGTTTGCAACACTCTGAGCAATTGCTGCTTCTCCACAACCAAAATCTGCGACCACTTCAGATACTGGTCTATAAATAAATAATTAATAGTAGCAATGAATGATAAAATAATTACAAAGATATACAAAAAATTACCCGCAACATTGTTTGGGCAAACACACAAGCCAAAATGATAAAATTTCTGTGTAACCTTAGTGTTCACAGTCAAGCCCCAAATATGTGACATGTAATTCTCCTTCCTTCTCCTAGACATATTCGTTTAAATCAGAAAAGAGATGTGGGTGACTTACATGTACATCAAAACAACAACCTCAAGCTGATAACTTTATCTATTTTGAATACAGTGGAATCCCGATTTCTCAAACCTCCAGGGGAAACCCAAATTGGTTAGAGAAACTGGGAGTTCGAGAAATCGGGAGTGGAGTTACAAGTGAAGCAAATCCAAGGGAAACAAGGTTTGGTTCGAGATATCGGGAAGTTCTCGAAACTGAGGGTTCAAGAAATCGGGATTCCACCGTACTTGTTTTTGGGGCAATGTGTCTATATCTTATAAAGGAGTTACATGACCTTTTAACCTGTTAACTCACATGAGTGACCGAGAGAGATTTTCTCATGACAATATCAATACAATATCAAGCAGACAGGTGACAAGAATAAAGAAAAATATCAGTTAAAGGATTATTAGTTGATCCGATATGAAATTCTCCAAACCAATATCATAAGAATTGTATTGGACAGATTAAGGAGAATTGCTAATTAGATCTTGGGAGTGAAAGGGTTTGTTCGAGTCTTAGGAGTTAAAATTACTGAATTTTAATACAGGTATTTTTTACCTTTTCTTCAACCATTCTATGATTTTGTCTACAGGATTAACTGGCCATAATCTGACTTGATTGGTGAAACCTCTGTGGTAAATATCAAACAAGTTTGGGTCTTTGGAAAACATTTCAGCTGCCTCCTTCCCTGTTGTGGTGTAGAGTTGTTCATTTATCCACCTGAATCGAGAAGATTCCAACTGCTTTGTCATCTTTTCATGAATACCTGACTTACTTTGAAGACCAGAGGGCGGTACAATGTTTTTACTTGTGACCTTGAAGTTTTCAAAGTTCTTTTCTGATACTGGTTCTTCATAAGGGATACTGTGATCTTGCTCCATGTCTTGATTTTTCTTCCTTCTTTTTTGCTTTTGATTTGCCTCTAGAGTTATTTGCCCTGAATTTGTTATTGTAGAATTGTCTTCACAACCATGCCCTTTCTTTTTCTCTCTTTGCTTCTTTTTCTTTGCTTTCTTACTTTCAGACTGATTTACCACTTCCATGGTTTGAAGATTTGAAGGAATTTCTTTGTTATCTATAGCAGCCTGAATCGTGGAATCAGTACTTTTATAACATCGATTGTCACTAACACACTTTATTTTATCCTTCTTCTTGTGCTCATTGCTGTCTTCTTCCTTACTTTGATTCATAATTATCTTCTTAGTTTCTTTCTTGCTCTTGTGGTTATTTAATTTCTCACTGTGTTCTTTTTCTAGAGCTTTTGCCATAAGTCCCGTACTTCTAGTCGCTATGTCAACCTCTTTCAAGGTAGTGGCATCACTCTTTTCGTTTTCTCGGCATTCAAAACCTTGGTTTTGCACTATTTTAAATTTATTATTATCTCTTTTCTTTTTCTTTCTTTTCTTTTTCAACTGTCCCGTTTCATCATTGCTTTCTGTTGCTTTTCTTTTCTTACTCTCTGAAGTATTCATCTCATTTTGGAGTGGCACATTGTTCGACACGGAAGCATGATATTTGCAGTTTGTTGAGGATATACCGCCAAAAAGATGAAGAATAAGAGAATCCTGTTCCTTGGACGTGCTTTCCCACTCCAAAATCTCGAAATAGTTTTGCATTTCTGTCATTTCAAGCTGAATCTAGAAGACTTGCAAAAGACCACGCGCGTCCGCCATGCTTGAAAAACAGTTAATGTGGACAGCGTGCATCCAAAGTGTTTTGCGCCAGAGCGAGGCTGGAAATAGCCTCTTCGGCTCCATCCACGATCCATCATGGCGGTGGGAAAAAATAAGAGACTGACTAAAGGAAAAAAGGGACTTAAAAAGAAGATGTGAGTGGAAAAATTAAAAAATTTTCTTTTAGAGCTGTGTTTCCTTTGTGTAAGATTCATTCTATGAAAGTAGATTTCGTGGATGGCGAGAATTGGTGAAGGATTCGAGTGGATGTACACTTCGTGTTTTTATTTCAGTCAGCGAGTGGAGATTTTTAGTGAGGTGTTTGACGTTTTAAAGCTAGTGGAGTGTCATGGAAATTGAACTTTCTGATAAACGCTAGATCTGAAGGTGGCTCCCAGGTGTTGCTCTGCTTTAATTATGCGACAGTTAAGAGCTTATTTTTTTGTTTTTGCTAGCGTTGACCCCTTCACCAAAAAAGATTGGTACGATGTCAAAGCTCCGTCAATGTTCACTATCCGACAGATCGGCAAAACCATGGTGACCAGGACTACTGGAACTAGTAAGTCTCATTATTTGAAGCGCTATGCTTGAGATAGGTAAAAATTTAATTTAATTGGAACAATTTTGGTATTCTGATTAGCCTCTGTAAATTTCGAAATGTTAGCCTGGAGTCTAATCTCTTTTATTCCCAAGATTCGTAAACTGATCTTTGGAGTTTGTTTGTGAAATTAATTTAATGATTATGTTTCATCCACCATTTGCAAAACTTAGTTTCTTTCTTTTCGCTCAGAAATTGCTTCTGATGGTCTCAAGGGACGTGTGTTTGAAGCATCATTGGCTGACCTCCAAAATGACGAGGTTGCTTTCAGGAAGTTTAAGCTTATTGTTGAGGATGTCCAGGGTAAGAACTGCCTCACAAACTTTCATGGCATGGACATGACCACAGACAAGCTCAGGTCATTGGTTAAGAAATGGCAGGTTAGTGCAACATTGGTGAATTTCTGTTGAGTGTGCAAAACGATGAGGAAAAAGCCTCTTAATAATTTTGTCATCAGACAGGTCATCTTTTAGGCAGTACAGTCAAACCTCAATCATCTGGACTTCAGTTATCCAGATTTTTCCACTATCTGGGCTTGCTTCTCTGATTCTATCCTTTTTTTTTTTTTTTTCTAACACATTGACACCTGAACCGCCCGTAACCGCTCGAAGCTCGCGATCGCCTTGCGCGAGAACGCTTTCCCCCTACCTCCCCTACTAAGTGGAGTTTTGTCCCCAAACTTCCTCTATAGTTTGGAGATCAATAAGCCAATCAGAATGCGTTGTTTGCACATATATTTTGTCGACTTTAGGTGGTACTAGAGGGGCATTATTCTATGCGTCTTCACTAAATGATCAAATTTGAAAATATGGCGTCCACGCGGCCGACCCTCAAAATTTTCAAGTCGGATTTTTCGTTCATTTGCGATTGAGTTAGACCTTGTGGAATTCAGAATGTAAAGTAACAATGGTATAGAATACTCTGCTGGGAAAAGAATGGATATTCAGGTCTTAAAAGTGACAGAATGAGCTCTCAAGTCAACGACACTACGATTCTCTAAGGCGATGTGAATTATAGACGTAAAGTGAAAACCGAACTTTCGGACTTCAAGCAGGGCCTGGCGACAATTTAACGATTCGATGGCCCGGTAAATATTATGTTTGAGTAACAATGTGTTCAAAAAGTATAGTTTAATAGAAGAGTTTGCCTCAAATCTAAGTTTTTTCAGAATTTTCATCATAATGCTGCGCAATTTCTGGCCATGAAGGCAAGTAAACAACGATCTAAGCATGATGAATTTTACTGCATGGGCTTTGTACAGGTAAGAAATTTGTACGTTTTTCGCTTATAACAGCAAATCAAAAACTGTTTTGAATAAATCTGACATCCCAAAATATTTCTTGGCCATTTTAGTCTTGCTTCCTGTTAATAGATTCCATGGAACTTGAGATTTCTTCACACAAATTTGCATATTTCCTTTTGAAATATGATCCACATGCCCATTTTCACCCATTCAAAAATATTTAGCAATTTTTATCTTTCATCTTGATTTTTGAGTTAAAATGTAATATGCACCCATCGCTTTTTTCGCCGGAAATAAGTTCTTTAATTAGTCCTCTTTCACTGGAGCTTGTTTTTTGGAAAAGATGATTTTTAAAAATTTACTGCGCATTGTGATTGCCTTCTTGGTTTCTCCAAAATTTTGACTTTTCGTTGGCACGTGTTACATGTAAGCGTCAATGGGTTGATATGGGTCAATCAGCCCAGTCCCCAGGAATTCAACAATAATTTGAATTTGTTGCACCATTAATCAATTGCCTTTTGCCACGAGCTTCCACTAGCTAATAATCTTTTCTTTTAAATCCCAACTCCTAAGATCTGAATGTTCATTCTCCTCTTAAGCTGCCATGCATTTCCTTGTCAATTAGTGGTGAGAATTTGTTGTTAGATCAGGATAACAACTTCTACCTGATAAGTTTGAGTATTCTCATTACCTGTTTGCTGGATTATGTATGGATATTATAGGGAGAAGTTGCTTCTTAATCACACACTGTATTATAGGGAGAAGTTGCATGTTAATCACCTCTGGGAGTTAAAGGGTTAATCAGGGCTTGAAGTTAATTTTTGGATCACTAACCCATTGGGTTAGTAGACATCTTTTTTGCTAACCAAATTATTAAGTTTGGTATCCAAGCTCACAAGTTAGGACATCTCAAATATTGAACATTTTGATAATAACGACTAGGACAAATTAAAGAGTAGCTGACATTGCATGGTGACCTTAAAAACGTTGACAATTATGCACCTATTTTATTTCCTCCCGTTTACTCTGATTAGTCAAGAACAGTACATCTACAGCACATTCTCTAAAAAGAGTTTAAATTGATTAAACAACTTGAGTATATTAAGTATTCCTCTAAGAATTGGGTCCATATGCTCTTTGTCCTGAGGTCTACCAATGTTTAAATATATTAGAAAATTTTACTAACCATGTCGGGTTAGTTGGACACATTTTTAGTAACCAAATGTTGAAAATTACTAACCATTGGTTAACGGGTTACCATTAATTTTGAGCCCTGTTATTAATGTCCCATGCTGCAAAAAATTTCTATACAGAAGGAGAATTGGAAAAAGTGGCTGAGAGAAAGGATTTGTGCATTATATTGTTCAACCTGTATTCTTAATCTGTGCATATGTTTTTCTGTCTTCAATTTAGACCCTGATTGAGGCGGCTGTTGATGTGAAAACCACTGATGGTTACCTATTGAGGTTGTTCTGCATTGGTTTTACAAAAAAGCGAGCCAACCAAATCAAGAAGACAGCTTATGCCAAGCATTCACAAGTGAAAGCCATTCGCAAGAAGATGGTGGACATCATTACACGTGATGTGAGCACTGGTGACCTCAAGGATGCAGTTAACAAATTGTAAGTAATGTAACACTGTAGAAACTACACCACTGACAACAGTCCATCTCAGGATTACCCTCACCTGAAAAATCAGACTACATGTACACAATCAAATGTAAAAATTGTACATGGTGAAAGAGCAGTGTAAAGAGTATGGGATTGAATGTCTTACTAACGTCATTTTCCCAGTCTGTACTATAAGTTACAGAACCATGCTTTTTCTGCTCAGATTTATGGTGCATGTTGTTTGTGCTTGGGCTTTGCAGTTGGCTTATGAATCTGAGCGGAAAAAAAACTTGTTCTACAACTTACAACCAGGAATGTAAAATGGTCACTGCTATGTGGTGGGGATGAAAAAAGAAAGAATATGTTTATTTAGCTTAGGAAGATTAATTGTTTTGTTTGCTCTAGATTTCTGTTTTCAATACCTGGATTTGAAATTGTTTGTGAAAGGTGAAAGTTTGCATTACTAGCTCATTTCCCCCCCCATTTCCATGTGATTGTCTCTGTAGGAATTCTGAAGGTATTCAGATTTTCTTTAGAGGCATTGGTGTTATTGTTGGTGGTTCATGTAATTCCTCAATGAACAATAGTAACAATACAATTAATTATAAAGAATCTTGCACCAGAACCCTTGCAAAACTGCCCTATTTACTTGAGAGAAAGCTGTTGGTCATATACTTCAAGAGAACGTCATAGCCTATTTTGGTTTCATTCCTTAGAATTCCAGATGCATTTGGCAGAGACATAGAGAAGGCATGTCAGTCCATCTACCCTCTTCATGATGTGTTCATCAGAAAGGTCAAGGTTCTCAAGAAACCTAAATTTGATAGTAAGTTTGCTTTCCATTGCTTTTACAGGGTTCCTGCACTCCTTGATAATCCTTGAAAGTCCTTGAATTTAAGTTTTTGTTTTCAAGGACTTGAAAACCCTTGAATTTAGTCTCACGTCCTTGAAAATTTGTGAAAAGTCTTTGAAAATAAGTGAAGATGAATCAAAGTCAAAGTTTTCTTTTTGATGTTGAAAGTATAAGTTTCTAGCACAAATCTTGAAAACAAGTTTTTCCTTCAAGTCCTGCATCCAATTATGATGTGTGATATGTGATAAAGAGCAATGTTTTTTTATTTCTGTTAGCTCCTATTTAGTACAAAAGGCTCTTGACTTTGAGAGCCAAGGTCCATGAAAATGACCTAAAAAGTCCTTGAAAGTCCTTTAATTGGGTTTCTGGAAAAGTGCAAGAACCCTGCTCTTACAAATGGGCATCAAAACAATATGATGTGTATTGGTTTTTACACTGCATTTACTGAAATCAGGGTCACCAAGACATAAGACTAAGAAGGGACTTTGTAACATTTAACACCTCAAATCTTGCATGGTCTTAAGCCATGGTTATTAAATACAGCCATTCAATCTGTACCTCTAGAGTGCAAAAGCACTTATTACCAATAAGGTAATAGGATAAAGCACCTACTTGATAGAAAGACTCTACTTACTGTGATTAGTGCTTTTGTTTTCAGTAAACTTTTTTACTGTTCGACCGTTTGGGGTAATGCTTCCAAAACTAATGTAAAAAAGTTACAGTTGGTTCAGAACTTTGCTGGCAGGATAGTTCGTAGTCTTAGAAAATATGATCACATTTCCGAAGGCTTAAAGTCACTTAAATGGCTTTCCGTTTCTGATAAATTATTTTTGTACGATTCCATTATGGTCCATAAGTGCATGAATGGTAGAGCTCCTGGCTATCTTATTAAGAAATTCATGCGTAGATCAGAACTTCATGACAGAAATACGCGATTTAAAAAAGATCTAAATCTGCTGAGATGCAGATTAAAAACTTGGCAACGATCTTTTGCCTATAGAGGGGCTACCTGCTGGAATAGACTCCCCAAAGACCTTAAAAGAAGTGGTGAACTCTGGTACTTTTAAGAAGAGACTTGTAAATATGCTTTTACCGGAAAATTGAATTATCTTTATTTCCCTTGTTGTTAATTTCATTAGTTGTTACATTTCATTCCTTTGTCTTATCTTGTAATTTTAATATATTGTGGCTGAAAAGCCCTGTAAAGGGAGCTTCAATAAATGTATGTAGGTATGTATGTATGTATGTACCAAGGGTTTGAACTTGTCATTAAATACACAGCACAGTCCAATAACCATTGTTCATCACACAAGTTAAGATTACTGCAGCTAATATTTGATGGACTTAATTTGGAAGCATTGGGAATTGTTTTCTTAATAAAGGCTTTTTGGTTTGTTTTCATAGTCTGGGTTGCCCCAGTTTTAGTAGCTGGATTGAAAAATAAGAAAATTGATATCATTAGGGAGAGTTGATACCATGATTTATCTAAAGCCAAGTAACGCAGGCATCTTGCTCATGGAACTTTCCCGCAACATTTTGGCTCTAAAAATTGTGGCAACATGTTAATAGTAATTGCCAGATCAAGTTTTTGGAACACATTTTTTCAACTTGCAACAACAAGTTGCACACATGGGGTAATACAGGTCACTCCTCTTTCAACTTTCAGTACAACATTATCTTGCAACAAGTCGAAACAAAAGACAACTTGTATAGTTTGGTTGTAATGGTTTAAGATTAATAAACATATCCTGTACTTTTTTTTCAGTTGGAAAGCTAATGGAGATGCATGGCGAGGGAGCAAGCCACACCACCACAGATGAGAGTGGCACCAAGATTGAGCGTGACAGCTTCGAGCCACCTGTGCAGGACTCTGTGTAAAAATATGCAGTGAAAATTGAACATAGCAAATTAAACTTCTGAAAGAAAAGTTGTGATTGTGTTTATTGCATGTATCAAAGAATGTTTTAGTAACAGTGTTTAGGCCCCAATTACAGGAACGACATAGGGTAGGTCAAATGAAATTTCTGATCTTACATTTGTTTCGTTTTTGATATTTCTGCCACTCTAATTCCATCAAAGTCGAAGGATTATTATGGTAAACTAAGTTTGGGTGAAGTCATATTTTTCTTATGGGCTATCAGGGCTTGACACTAACTTTTCAACTTACTAGCCAAATGGCTACCGACATCTTAGATGTTTTTAGATGTTATGACAATTTCAGTCTGTTTACTAGCCAAACTGGCTAGTGGAAATTGAAAACCACCAGCCAAAACTGAATTTCTACTAGTCTGTGGCTAGTGGGCTACCGTTAGTGTTGAGCCCTGGCTTTGTAGAAATGGAGCAGAAGCTGCAGCATCTTTGATAATATTAATGTTGTTGAAACATTTTCAGAGATCCTGCCAAGGGAAATTACAAGAACTAGAATAGTAAAAAGTTGATATGTTATTATCTAAGGAGAAACAGTTCGGAAAGTTCTAAAATATCCCAAAAGCGCATGCGTATGGAACACTACAATAAGTTCTACCAATGAACATAGTACACAGTCTGATTGGTCTCTTCAATTTCCAAGCGATGCTTCACCTGGTCATATAGCTCGCTTGTAACTAGTTGTGTCATTAAAGAAATAGAACGCATTTCTTCTGGGCTCTACAACGTGAAACAGCCACACGGGATGTTGGAAGAACACTCCAAAGCATATAAATCACACGCCTTCAGCTTGTAATTTCTAAGCTTTCCTCGTGTTCACTCAACATTCCAAGTGGCTTTATCACATTACAGAGCCTAGGAAAATGTGATCTATTGCCCAAACTTGACAGGCCAGTGACTTACAAGAGATAATCATTGTTTTTTTTCATTAATCCGAGTAGAATTATTTGTGGAAGAATAAGTTATTCTCGTTATTTACACACTTATTTCTAGCTATAAAAGATCACTTTAGATAATATTTGCCAAAAACTGTAGAAACAAAATTATTCGCTGAATTTTATACGGATGAGCTTAACGTCATGTTGAGTAATCTTCCCAGGAAGCCATGACCAGACAAGTGACGTGACACTTATTTCCCTGACAAATTTCCATTGAGACCTTGATTCGTGCCGTCACAAAACATTAAATACGATGATTTGGGGTGTTACGTGATGCTCTCACTTGAATCCCAATTGAACTGTCACGCAAAGCTCACAAGTGGTTTCCCGAGCCGTTAGTCATTTCCCTCCAACATGTCCTTTACAGTTTGATAAGTGCACCTATCCATCTCAGGACCGATTTCTGCCAGAACGTCATCCACTAAAGCGCGTTGTCTGGGTTGCTGAGAAATGATCAATTCACCAAAAAGGTAGATACCCATTCCCTGCAAATGGAGACAAAACATGATAAAGCAATTGATAACGTTTAAAAAGTCCCCTTCACCTAGCTTGGCGGGGACTTGACTTACGCATGAACAGAATTCCGGGTTATTTAAACAATTCAGGTCTTGTCCAGCTTGAAAAGTTTAACCAATTTGTTTTAAAATACTTTTTCAATCATTGCCAATCTTCGCCATCCTTCACCATTCCTGATCCTTACCATTTTATTCTAACACCTTCAGCTTATCTACCCTGGCTAAGGATTATTTCATAGCAATCCAATTGACTTGAAAAATAATGATTACAGGTGGAATTCGAGCAGTTTGCCGTAACCAAGACCTATGTAGAGGACCCCGGGGCAAGTGATTGGAGACAATTTCAGTAATGTGTTTTAAAAAATCTTTGTTGCCACCTAAGAGTCCTCTTTACAGTTGTGGGCTTGGTGGCCAAGCCTTTGAACAGGAGTGAGGCTAAAGGTGACCTTGTTATGATACAGCTGTTGCTGCTTTTCAAATGCAAATTTCTTTGTATCATGCTAACTAGATACTGGTCTCTATCACAACAATGTCACCCCCAGCCTAACTTCGAATCAAAGGCTTGGCAACTAAGTACACAACTGTGAAATGGTCTATTCAGATCAAGAGGTTACAAATGTTGTTCGCAACTTTGTTCCCAGGGCGTATAATAAATAATAATAAATAATGGACTTATTTAGCGCTATATCCGACTGCTCTATGGCGCTTTACAATACTGAGTTAAAAAGATAATGACTACAATTGATTAAAGACAAAATAATTAAGACAAACAATCACATAAAATCACAAAATATTTGAAAAGAAAGCTTTTTCAAAAAGGCAAGTCTTCAGACATTTCTTAAAAGCAGCCAAAGAAAAACCAGGCTACGTACAGGCCTGATTTTTTTCAGGTCTGATTTTCGCTATTGCCTAAATAGCGCTATCTACTGCGAGGATCGTGCATCATACGTATCTAATACCGCAGTTCAAAATATATGAGCTTCACATATTTATTCTATCTCAAAAACCAGGCTGTCTCATATGAATGGGTAGAGCATTCCACAACCGTGGGGCAGCCACCGCGAAAGCTCTGTCACCATAAGACTTTTGAATAGACCTTGGGACAACCAGAAGAGACTGTTTGGATGACCTGAGACTACGACTGGGGATATACGGTGTTAGCAAATCACTAAGATAAGAAGGGGCTAAATTATTCAGAGATTTAAAGACCAACAACAAGATCTTAAAAGCAATGCGATGCTCTACTGGTAACCAATGGAGCTCCCAAAGTAATGGTGAAGTATGACCAAATTTGGGACAACGCTTAACAAGACGAGCGGCACAGTTCTGTACAGACTGTGGCCTCTGAGTCTGGTATTTTGGTAGCCCGTATAAAAGGGCATTCCCATTGTCTAACCTGCGAGTTATAAGAGCTATTGTAGACTCCTCTGACAGATAGCTCCTAATTTTGGCGATCTTCCTTAGATGATAAAAAGCCGATTTACATATAGCACCAATATGCTTCTCAAACGTTAGACCATTGTCGAAAACTACACCCAAATTACGAGCTGATGTTGATGAATGTACTACGGAACAACCAATTTTAAGAGAAGATAACACGGGACGAGGCCGATACTGAGAACTAATAACAAGTAGCTCCCATTTGTCGCCGTTCAGCTTAAGCTTATTACAGCACATCCAGTTGACTATCTCACGAGCACAGGCTTCAACCTGAGAAACTGCCAAAGCCTCCGTATCACGACCCCGGGAATCGAAGGACAAGCACAACTGGGTATCATCGGCATAAAAGTGATAACCCATGTTATACCTTCCAACAATATCCCCGAGTGGTGAAGTGTGCAGTAAGTAGAGTATGGGACCTAAAACAGACCCCAACAGACACTGGAATCGAGGTTGATCTGTTTGTAATTTGGTAATATCAACTAAGTTGAAATTAGATACAATGGATATATGAAGTTCATATATTTTGAACTGCGGTATTAAATACGTATGATGCAGGATCCTTCGCAGTAGATAGCGCTATTTATGCAATAGCGCTATTGCGTAAATAGCGCTATCTACTGCGAAGGATCGTGCATCATACGAAAGTTGAAATTGTAAATTGGCCACAGTAAAGGTTTTATAAAACCCACACAACCCACAATTCCTCCACTCGCTCTGAAGAAGGGCTAGCGCTCGAAACATCAGCTCTTAAACACTTTACGGTGGCCAATTTACAATTTCAACTTAGTTGATATTACCAAATTACCTTGGTACCCCCACCGACGCAGCACCACAGTTTCTTTACAAACTTACTCCCATTATTCATTGATCTATTTGTGTACGGGTAATCACCATATTGTAACCTCATAGGAATCACCACGTGATCTGAACTGAGTGACAAGGATGTAAACACGTTGGCCAGATGTACCTTTTGATCTCTACGAAGTGATCTGAAACGCCCGACTAAATATTAATTTAAGGATACTACCAGAAATTCAAGAGAGAAAATGTCTTTCGGGTTTTTTTCTACGTACCTGATCCTCTACCAAAAATTTTTGTACATCTGGTAACCCAGAAGTGTAACTATAACGAGAAAGTAAGGAAATAACTATTTTTAGTAAGAGCGATTATCGAAAAAATCCGGAAGTATGTTGGTTTGCTTCCTCTCACTCTATCATTGGTCTGGAAAACTCGCGCCAGACTCAACTAATCAGATGCAAAACGAAAACAACTGCGAATTTGTCACTAGTGAATGATCTAAAAAAATTCGCGCAACCCTCTCAGCCAATCAGATGTAAGAGTACAGCAAATTCGACGTGGTCGCTTACGCTCCTCCACAATTCCCACTGTCTATGAAGCACGACTCTCTTTGGCTCCACTCGCCATTTTGATTTTTTTGGTTTCGTTTTGACGATACTCAGTCGAAAGGCACTCTAACTATCCTTTCGGAGACGACATTATATCAACGGTGAACACTTGGTATACTTACTTATGTTTTACCACGAGTTCACACCAGCGATGTCGAATCTGCAGAAATGAAACACACGATCATTGCCTTAGCACTAAAAATCCAAGGGCTGAGCTATCCTCGTGCTCAACAAACCTTTGTTTCGCTACGTTCTTATTGTCGTCGTAGTCGCAGATTGCTTAAAGTTACTTTTACGATAATCGGAACGAGCACTGTTGCCACGGAAAAGAAACTTCCATGATTTAATTCAAATTACAAATTTAGTTATAAAAGGTGAAGGGCAGAGAGACTAAAAATTAAAAGAACATAAAAAGACAATTAGAGTGGTTAAAACTGGAGGATTTACTGGTAAACTGTCTTCAAGGGAACGACGAAATGAGCATAGCGACAAAATATTTGACGAACCTCGGCATTTCCGTTTGATAAGTTGTAGCATTTGTCCAACTGACGCAGTGTGTTATGGGATATCGCCTCTCGCTCCAAAAGTTTTTCCAGCAACAAAACAACTTGTTCAGCGACCTCCTATAAAAGGGAAAAAAGAAAGAAAAGAAACCGCTACATTAACCGTCCGGTAAGGCTTATTTGAGATTCCTGAGGCACCGAAGGGAGAACTAAATCGTCATTTGACGTCGGAATTCTTCGGGTCGGTTTGGATCGTTCCGAAATGTACCGACAATAGGTTAAGACGCTTTTCGGAACGGTACGAGTAAGAACAATGGGCTGCTGTTGTATTTGCATTAAAAATCTTAGAACTCACCAAATTGGAGCTGGGAGGTTTCTTTCTCTTTCGAACTTTGAGCGTCTTGTTCCGTTTGTTAATCGTATCTTGTTTCTTCCAGACCTGAAACTAAAAATATCCGACAATTTCCCAAAATCAGCACTTAGATATCGGCATTCAATAAATCAATAAACGCCAATGAAGTAGTTTTCTTCAGCTAAGTTAACCGGGCACACACCTCGTTTTCCACCTGAGAAACAAGTTCATTGTCCGGGCTGTCAAACCTCTTCGGAAAAGACTGGGAGCAAACAAATAAGAATTTCATTTTAGTAGCACTAATAGCGCTATCTACTGCGAGGATCGCACATCATACGTAAATAATAAGCATGCAAAAAATTCATCATGCTCTCTGACTGAGAGGACTTTAATTAGTCCCGAACAGTTCAAAACGTTGAAATAAAATGTATAATCATTGAAAGGCAATCAAAGTATTTCTCGAGGAATCTGGAATAAGTAAGCATTTGAAAAATATTTACAGACACTAACACCACTAATAAGCTGGGGTCTCCAGAGCTTTGAAAATCTACACATTTATTCGAGTTTGATATCAAAATCATTTGATTAACTGTATAGAAGTGAAAATTTGAAAACCTTATCAATCTTAAACTTCAAGGAGTCAGTAAAATGCAATCTAGTCAAAGACTATTAGCTACTTATAGACTTATTAGCAACTTATGTACTTATTAGCAGTGTATTGTTTTCCAATTTACAGTAATCTAGTCTCCTGTTAATTTCTGTAACCTTTTTTAAGTACTTCTTTATTTTGTGCTCTTCTTATATTAATGTTTAGTATTCAAAAATAACTCTAACTATTTTAAACTTCCTTCATATCTTATAAATTCCGTTTGCTTTTTCTTTTTTCTTGTGCGTGTGTGTGTGCATTTGTGCTTCAATCTTCTTGCTGACCTGTATTTTAATTTTATTTAATGCTGATGTTAACCAGCTGCCTGGCTCCGCTAGTTCTTATGGTTAATCCAGGCTTCTAGTACTCCAATTTTTTTCTAATAATTTCTTTCAAATTTGTAACTCTTTTGCTTAGAGCAAGTATGAATGTGAGTACAAATAAAGATTATCCGTTGTCCGTTAAACACATCCAGGTCGTTCAAAACACGATGACACTTCAACGACTTTTTTTAATTCAGTTTTTAGTTACGCAAGTTTAATAAGTATATTATTTTGTTCCTAGCTACATAACAAACTTACCCTAGGTAATCCAGGGCTTTCCAGCCATTCATGCGTGAGCTTGTCCTTCATTTCTCTTTGACATGAAAGAAGCCAACAATTAATAGAGTATAAGGAAAATGAAAACGAAGGTAGACGTTGTATCCATCGGTTACGATAGAAGCTCTTGAGTCTTACCTTGGCACATTGGGAAACCTTTCCATAAAGAGGCCGAAGAAGTCCTATATGGTTATCAAAAAAGAAATAATAAAAAATACAGATTTTACGACATCTTGATAGCCCACAGGCAGAACAGGCCATGTGGAAGCATTTTAGAATATGCATTTCACTAAAGCCGTTTCGAATTTCCATTTTATAAAGGAATATACCTAGATAAAGAAATTATGTCTTCAAATTTTGCCGTCAGTAAAAAACTACTTACTTTGCTTTGCAGCTATTTCTTTACCTATCTTTTTGTGTCTGAAGCCGTTTCAATATCCATTTAGATTTCGAGTTGTACTTCCAATAACAATTACTTTCACTCTAAATAGACAGTCACAGAAATAACTCATACACAAACTCGTCCTTATACTTGGACATAACATTTAATTACATAATAAAGTCGATCATAAAATTACTTCAGACGGTTTTTTCAATATGATGAGAAACTAAATGATCGCAGCACAAACCACTACATCGAATCTTTAACCCTTTACACCCTAACATCAGTATGCATATTCTCTATACTGTTCTCTATACATTTCCCAAGGTGCTGACAAGGAGAATTTTTTTTAATAATCAAGAGTTTCTTTAGGTGATGATCATTTCTTTTATTCTCGTGACTCTACTGTTTTATTCAGGGATCACTCTTAGGGTTGAAATGGTTGAGCCATAAAAGTAGACACGGAACTTGCCTCTGAAGTAACAAGTTGTTCTTTGAAATGCTGCACATACTCGAACAAAAACTGATCAAATTCTTCAAGTCCAACCATATTCGCCATGCGATGAAGCAAAAAGTAGCCCTGAAAGGAAACAAGACATGGTTATACTACCATGCGCTGTTGTACAGCGGTTGTATGTAGTATGGGTTACGAATAGGTTCTCATTGAACACAGTTGTCAAACATTGGGCATGCGCACGGGGATCAAATTTGGCCGGCCGCACACTCAAAAAAGGTAAGGTCTGCACTTTTATCAAATGGACCATTCAGCCGGAGTTTATCTCGACTTCTGTAAACATAAAGCGACTAGGATCACGATAAGGAATATTATCACCTCAAAGCCCCCTCTCCCTCCCCACCCTCCTACTCAAAATTTGATCAAGGCTTCCCTGACATTCGGCTAGTGTCCACCTATTTTTGCCCGAAACATATTACTCGGCCAGGTCTCGAACCCAGACCTCTCGACCCGTAGTCCAGCACGCTGACCATTACACCGCCGCGTCACGGCTTCCGCCACTTTCTGTTCAAATGAATATGAAGCAAACAGGGCACACCTTGAGGTAATGAACTTGTGTCCATTTTTTGGAGCAGATTTGACCGAACTGGACCACAGTGTGCGGTTTGATAGATGAAGAATCCGGCTGACAAGAACTCCTCTCAACAGCTTCAGCCACCGAAATAGCTGTGAATCATAAAAGCAAACGTCAGTGGGACTGTTGTGAAGGTTGCACTAGCTTCCCTGCGTACCAATCTGGTTTCTCTCTCTTGCTGCTCTTTCAAAAGAAAAAAACCTGTCTTTAAATGGGCAATGGCTTGTTCGGAAGCCTCACGGTTCCTTTTACCTCGAGGCTCCAGTCCAATCAAACTATGTATTTATCCAAACATATGCTATATATCATACATAATTTTCTTGTAACCTCTTTGTAATGGCATTCTTTCTGAACTATAACAGATTTGTTTGTTGTTAAGAGTTTTTGTTACTTGAACTAAAAGGACAGGCTCTTACCAGATTTCGGTTTCACGACTTTAGGCCTGTAACGAAAAGAAAACATCCCGTTTTGTTAGCTTTACATCCAAAATTATAGGCTTGTCTTGAATTCTGTATTACATCCAAAATTATAGATCTGTCCTGAATTCTGTATCAACGATTTCTTTGTTTCTTAGTGTTACAATATTCAAAGCAAGACGTGTACTTAACTCTTACAGCTGCAGGAGCCTACTCCCTCTAAGTCGCCTCCATCCCCCACCCCCAAAATGTACTACCTCGTTTGGCTTGTGCCGCCATTCATGGTGAGGTTTTCGGAGGTAAAGTCATAGCTGAATCTTCATTTCTAAGTCACTGTTACTTGCCACTCCAGAGATTTTCAGCTGTAAGATTTTCTTACCTCAAACACTTGAGACTGTCATCACATTCTTTGATTTCAGACAACAAACATCTGTGCCGAAGAATTTGCCTCATTTCTCGAAAAAACCTGTCTTTATCCCTGGACCACTACGGGGGAAAAAATTGAGCAGAATACAGGTCACACAAATACTGTGTCTTAAAACCTGCTTAGTTGACAGTTTTGTGTACGCTGAAGCGATGGGTGGCAAAAGCACGAGTGGCTTGAGACTGAAGATACTCGCACCTTCGCAGTTCGCCTCTTAGCGCACACAAACCGTAGATGGTGCACAAAGAACGCAGGCTGACAGTCTCAATGCCCATTTAGGGCACTTTACGGTCGCTGTAAAAATACCAATATAAAAAAAAGGTATCAAACCAGAAAGAGAGAGGTGGTTCAAAAAAGCAGACCCACCGGCCATTTTACAAAGCGCAGCCAAGAAGGAGAACTTGGGGCAATCAAGAACAAATACAGTGAGTAGCATGGTGAAGGTTTTGGACCCAGGACCCCACCAGTGCCCTAACCACTCGGTCTCTCCCCAGTTCACTCTCCTTCGTGGTACACATAGGTTACATGTTAACCACTTCTGGGAGTTGAAGGGTTCAGTAAGTAAGTAGGTAAATAATTGTAAGTATCCAACCTCCTCTGATTGTAAGTCTCCAAGTGTCGATGAAAGTGGTGAAAATTCACCGCTTCGTATGTCGGCAAATTTCCGTCACTACTCACCTCCACTTCGGCTATCAGTGTTGGTGCGTTATTTTTTCAGTGTATGTAAGAAACACGAATTGTGCACGCACCCTCTCAGCCTTTGATTGAATCTTCTCTTCGACGAACGTGGCGAACCCCTCTGAAAGCCATTCCTCTCTCCAATCCTTGGTGCCAACCAGGAGCCCGAACCAGGCATGCGAGATCTCATGTGCAAGGCGTACACGCATGCTCGCCTCACCAGAAAGAAGAGACTGGGACAGAAACACCAGATTGGGACTATAAGACCGAAAAAAGATGAATATCTCAAAACTCAACTTTGAATTTCAATTGTTTGGAACCTGGATTCAAACTAGTCGGTAAGAATGGAATATACACCAACCTTTTGAGTCCCATGCAAGCGAAACACTTTGGCAAAACCAACATGTCCAACCTTCTGAATGGAAAAGGACCCAACAACTCGCAGGAAGCTTCTAGAAATTTAGGAGCGTATCCTAGCAACTCCTCTGCCGCCCTGTCAATCAAACTAGGCGGAGCAAACAAACGACACGTTACCGGCACGTTGGGGTTATCACCATTTTTAGTGTCGGCGGTTCTTGATAGCCGGCACTGCCACCACCCCACAGCCAATGCCAGAGTTGAGCAGGGAAGAGGACAATCCATCTCATAGTGGTACGTCACTGAAAAATGATTTTAAAAAAGTTTTTTTTTTTCTAGAAATTTCACGATACGGAATTTAGTTACACACTTGAGGTATGCTGTTTGGAGTAGATGAGACTTATTTTTACGAATATCTCCGTTAACTTCTGAATTTAAAATTCCCAACTATAGCAAAAGTCAACAGCGAAACTTGAACAAAACGTCGCACGAAAGAAACCACCTAACAATCTCATTAAAACTCAAACTGATTAGTCAAACGGCACCAACATTTTTGGCGAGTCACCGAGGCAGTAAAGGAAAACCAACGACATTCCGGATCACTTCTGACAAACGTCTCCCATTCAATGGGTTAGCCCATTCAATATTTCTGTTTTTAGTGATCGTGCATTGCATATTCGCACCATGTAGCTACCTTTCCGTCTATCAAACTTAAGTTTTGAAGTTATTCGCCTGCAGTCTGATTCAATCTCCTCGATCCATATTCATTCCCCTTCCCTTTTGATTTATCCTTAATTTTATGGTACTCATCACTTCTGTCAAATATTTTTATACCGGAATTAATCTATCTAAAGGCGATTCTCTGTGACGGTATGATTGTTTCTTAAATGTAACGTAGTTGCTTTTAAACCTACCTTTCGTGACGTGGATTATAATGACGGCCAACGATATGACTGACCAGGAGCCCCATTTCTCGAATGTCCCGGTGAATTAACGGGCCCGAAGCTATATTTTAGAATCAGAATTTGATTTAAAGAATAGAGAAGCATATTGTGGCTTCCTGACCAGTCCATTTTGTTTCTTTAGCTGAAAGTTTTACTGAACAATTTTCAAAACTTTTTAAACCTTCATCTCGAATGAAACCAGAACAGCTTTACAGGCCCGACGAGTTACCGGGACGCTCAAGAAAGGGGGCCCAGAAAAGAAAAGAATTGAAGTGTTACCTTGATCACCATTCCCAGTGGTTTTCCCAACAAACTGATTCCCACTCATTAAGACAACGCAGCCCTCCGGAACGTGGATGGATGCCTGCCATGTTGACATGGCAACAGGAGGCTCCTGACATGGCATCAGAGAACGATTGTTGATGTAAGCACCGGGCGAGAATACAGAGGGCCTAGTGCAGAGGGAAAATAACACAAGTTCAATTCATTCAATCTCCTTGAAAAATTCCTGGCTGTTTTACATTTTTTCACAAGATAACAAGGAGTATATGGCGTTATATCAAGACAGGATTCCACCATCTAACTGACCACGTTGTCTTCTCTGATCAATTGTTCTCTAGATAATGAATTGATCTCATAAGGAGAGGTTACAAATTCTGAATCAGGTCCAGGTTCACGCCTTACTTACTTGCCATCTTGATCAGTAGCCCAAGTCAATGACGATCCTTCTGGACTGGTGTGGTATTTAATCCACACACATCTTGGCCACGCCTTGCCAGTTGCTTCAGGTTTCGAAATCTGTACAAACCAACCATACACTGAATACGACAGGCCCTTAAACGGCAAAGGCGTATGGGATTTGTCGCCAACAATGTTCCCTAAGAAGCCGAGTTGTACCTCTGAAAAAGACATTTCGGGTGTCAAAAGGCCGCTTTGTTTCTGTCCGCAAAATGTTACCTGGAAATCATCTGGAAGAACAACTTCGCTCACAGATTCAATGCTCACCAAGGTACTGTCCAACGTCATTTGAAATTGCTTTTTCGTGACCTCCTCGTTGCGAGGTTCAAGAAATAGCACTATGTTTCCTTTCATACTTTTTTCATTGAATTCGACAGACAAGTCAAGAATGTAGTGATACACGAGAACTTCGTCGACGTTTGCCATTAACGGCAGATCGTCGCTTTTATCCCATTTACAGCTAATAAATCTTTCATCGTTCCTCCTTCCTTTACAATCAGAATCAGATTCGCTTTTTGTTCTCTTAGTTAGATTTTGAGGTACGTCGCAAACGAAATCAGTCAATAGAGGCCTCTTCCCCCCACAACTGCCTTTTCTATCTGCTTTTTCACCAACATTAGTGGCATCATCAGTTTCGACTTCTTTGCACTCCACCTCATGGTTTCCTTTACAATAATCCGTAAAATTCTGAAGCCATGATTGGAATGACATCTTCATTTGCACTCCATTCGGCAGAGTGCAGGAACTTGTGTCACTTACGGTTACCGCTGACCTAATCCTATCCTTTTTCTTGTTTTTCTTCTTTTTATCCTTCTTCTTCTTCCTCTTTTCCAGAACTGCATGTTTATCTGCCCCACATTTTCCAGGAGACGAGGGAGGAATCGTGGGTGCATTTTCATCCACTATAGTTTCCCCTGAGGTTCCTTCTACCATTGACGTGCTCATGTTCGTAGCATCAAAGCTACTAATCGACGATAAATGCTCAGGACGAGGCCCATCCTCAGCTCGGTACATTGTAACTTCTGCATCCTGGGACCCCTCCCCTAGGTTTGCGTCTGCCCTAACCGGCACAATGGCTGGACTCAGTTTGTTGCAGCATATCACACCTTCCGAATCCTTACGCAAGACATCTTCATAGTTTGTCAGTTCCATTTCTCCTTTTTCCTCTGTTAAACTCTTACCCTCCCACTCTTGGGTCACGCACGGGTTAGGGCTAACAGCTGTACATGGATCCTTACGAACCATGGATCCTTTTTCCTTGTGACACAAACCATTGTCTGCTTCTTCAAAAAGCCGAGATTCATCACCAATCGGCTTCATTTCACTTTCGTTCCTCTGTACCGAGACTGTGCTCATCCCATCTGAGCCACCGTCCACGAATGGCTCCTGCTGAAAAGGTGCTCCATCTGCCTCCTTCACACACCTGCTTCTCTCCTGACTGTATTCTTCCTCCTCCTTGAACCCCGCTTCCTCCTCCTTGAACCCCGCTTCCTCCTCCTTGAACCCCGCTTCTTCCTTCTTGAACCCCGCTTCCTCCTCCTTGAACCCCGCATCCTCCTTGTGTACGGTCGCAGATAAACTGAAAATTGAAGGTGAATTCTCCAAACACGTCGCGCCACATGGTTCCTCAACAAGCCTTTGCTTGTCATGATCTGTCTTAAAGTTGCCATCTTTTTCCTTTGATGATACTGAATTTTTTCCCAGTGGATAAGTTGCTAACAAATAGTTTGAGGCTGACGATGGAATGCTTTGACTCATGACATCGTCAAGCTCATTTCCTTCAGTAATGGTAATGTTTTCAAGCGAAGACTTATCGCTGTTGTTGAACACTTCCTCAGCTAACGCCTTAGCGCATGTCACAATGTTAGAACCAGAGCTACATGCATGTACAGCTTTATCTTCAGTTCTCTCTGCACTGGAAGTTGTGGGTGTCTCGCACTGCCACATTTTACGGCCTTGCTCCTTTCTTACTGTAGTGGGCAGAGTGCTTGGCACATTATTCCCTAAATTGTCGTGAAACGATTGACATGCGTTTTCGTTTGTTGTAGATGTGCATACAATTGAAGGTAACGTTACGTGAGAGGAAGAATCTTCCTCTGGATTGCGCGCTGGGGGTTGGACGTCACTATTGGAAAGACAAGTGGAAACTCCTTTCTCGTGAACAGATTCCAACTTGTTTCCTCCACTGGAAGTCATGTGGGTAGCTTTCCCAAATGTTTCAATCGTAGATTTGGACTCTACAGGCTTTGGCGCCGCTGATAACAAATGGAGTCCACACTTTCTACCCAAGCCTGACAAAACGTAGCAAGTCTCCATGTACACTTCTTCCAACGTCCACGATGATAAACCATGTCCAACTGGCTTTTTACTGTAAACAGCTAGAAAAGGACAAAGACATACATTATTAACACATGGCAGAAGTCCGAATTCTGTGACAAGGGCCGAAGTCAAAATCGAGTTCATGAAGTGTTTTTCTGATGCAAAAGCATCTGTTACTAGTTTCATAAGCACCAGCTTCTTTCATACAACAAAAAAGGAAATACCAGTCTTAATAACGCCAATTAATTTCATCTTCGCCTTACTTTCGTACATAACCTTACATAGATTAAAACTGGAAAGAAAGCAACCCGTAAAATGGAAGTTGATGCCGTCGGAAGAGATTCTCGTCCCTTTAGAGTACTTGTTTCCGCAGGCTACTGTTACTTTTTACGTCGGTTGGTCACAAAAAATATTTTAAAAAAACTTTAAGGCTTCGTTATATTCTTTCTTTTTCTTTCTCGTATCTTTACTCGGGGTGCTTTCATAATTAATGATGGGGGGGGGGGGGTGGTTACTTTAGTTCTGATTTCACGACCCTGAATTAAAATGGTTACTCCTTTCTCACCTGAGGGAATTCCTTTCCCAGCTAATCGGTTTCCATTCTCCCCAATGGCAAGATGAATCATGTAGAGAAGTACTGGGAATGAGGCAGAACAGTCTGCTCTGTTGTCATCTTCTATAAGCCCAGTCACCGCAAGATGTCCGTTACCAGACGTCGTTTCGCTATTTTCCTGGATCTCTTTGAGCTTATTTTTCATTACAAAGGCCTGCATAGCTGTAACATGTTGAAAGTGAATTCCATAACAAATATCACCTGTTCTGAGATCGTTCCACTCCTTGATAAGCTTAATAAGCTCTAAGTTCGGCCTGGAAAACATTGGTCCTATTGCTACGAAGATAACTTTGAGGTTATCATTGGGCAAATGATCTAGATAGTTCTTCAGTGACTCTTGGATGAGGCAGATTTCACCGACTTTCATGTGGAAAACCATATCCTCGAATTTAACGTCCGAAGCTTTACGCATTCGAAGATTTGCAACAATAGCGTCAGCCAAGGCAATATACGATCCAAACTGCTTAGAATTGTAAGCCTCTTGGTTTAATGCAGAAGGAAAGTCGTCCTGGACAAGAAAAATGACCCTCATAGATGACATGACCAAACCAGGAGGAGTGACCTAGAAATGGGTTAAAAATATATGACGAAGTTATTCTTGCAAAACGAATATAGTTAAAAAGTAGGACAACAAAGGCCAACATTAACAAGCGATCACATGAAAAATGGCATTCAGAAAGATTTTAAACCCAACATTTCCACGGCCCCGGCAAAATGTAGCCGGTTTTTCAGCGAGATACAAAAAGTGGGAACGTTATTTCCCTAATCAGAATTTTCTCATTTCGTTGTTGCGTTAAAAGTCTTCTGGTGACACACGCCGCTGCCTACCAAGATTCCCTCAGAATCTGATCCGTGTAACATGGATAAATATTAGGGTTCCTAACAACAATACTGAATCAAAGATACAGCTGAATTCATCGCCACACCCAATCTCACAAGGTAAAAGCTCTTGCCTGCATTTCTCCATGACAAACAATCTTCCCAAACAGCAGGAAAACGCGAGAAGCCAGGGTGCGATTGTTATTAGTTTTGCATCCAATTGGTAGAGAAAATGGCGCGAGTTTTTCTGGACTAATCACGAAGCGGAGACATGCAAAACCAACTAAAAAAAGAATATGACAACAATGGTACATGTACCTGATCTTCTTTGCCTTCTGTTGAAAGCCTTTCCTCGACATTATCTCGGCCTAAGAACCCTAATCCCATCTCCCTTGCTAGATCTGGAAATCCCTCAGCGCATGCTCTGTTCACGGTATCCTTCAGTCTTGTACCACATGTGCCGGTCGTCTTATTGCAAACCATTGTCGAGAGCATCAAATGAAGATCAGCAACTTGGGAACCAGTCTCGTAAACTTCTTTTGTACTACCGCAAAGAATGGAGCGAAGTCTTGTCTTCAGCCAATCAGCATCTACGGGCCAATCCTAAACAGGGAAAAAACGATTTTGCAAACCTATCGAGATTCGTAAACAATAAATACTAGTAATCTGGAAAACTTGAGGATGTTTTGGTAAGTTAAGGAGCAATGCATCCAAGCTATCCTTTAAGATAAACTCTGGTGATTTAAATTTCTAGTCTCCAAGCATAAAGGCTGGGACTCATAAGGAATAAAGCAACTAATCTCAAACAAACCCCATGCGTACTGTGTTGGAAAGATTTTTCTGGGACACATTTTAACATAGAAAACATTGAACAAATTTAGTAAACCAGGGTTGAATGTGTCCATACTGTTGGGGAGGTTGAAAGCTCTGTTAAAAGAACAAAGATTTTTTTCTCCATGTCACATAAAGGAAATTTCTGCATCAACTAGTCACCATGAGGAGATGAATGATCTTTATCCAGTGTTTCCCTCCTTTAATTATCAACAAGAAACTTACCACGTGAGAGCAATCTAATTTTAATGTGAAACAAGATGAGATATGGGTAGCCATCAGAACATCTTTCAGCACTGTCTGACTAGCCATCACAAAGTCATGGAGAGAACAAAATTCCTCAAATCCACTCTCTTTTCCAATGGCAAATGGAGTGCATGAGAAAACTTGACCTTGACAACTTGAGTGACAGCTCAATACTGCGACAACTTCAACTGTGAGGAAGCAAACATAAGAAATCCAGTAACAAATTTAACTCAAACTGCATAAAAAGCAAACATTTAGTGAAGAAGAATATATTCAAGCCTTTCCAAAGAAAATTAAATATTGTAAATGGCCAAAATTTCTTAATGATGAAAAAATTATCATCAAATCAGGGTTGTTAGGTGTTCAATTCTAAAAGAATTGGCATGTGTGGCAATAATTGACATGAAAGGTGGTTGCGTTAAAGAGGTTAGGAACACTTATGACTGACAAATAGATTCCATGTTGTCTTGTGTCTGTCCAGTTATAGATCCCAGATGAAATGAAAATGTGGCACAAACAAAAGATAGTCCTCCAAGAGGACATGTGCTCACTGTTATTGGATGGTATACCTAGTTACATTGTGCATGTGACTGCAGAATTGTTATCAGTAAACTTGTTCACAAAATAACATTTCCACAATGTGATGTGATCCCAGTAAAAATAAACTTCGGTTGCTAGTTCACTTTCAGTCAATCTCACTTCGGGATCCAGAAGTCTTCAGAAGTTACAGACTATCTTTTTTACAACATGATGACATATTGTGTACTGGTCTTGTGCCAGAAAGCACAAAAAGTAGCACACAAGGTGAAGATGTGTGTGTCAATGATGTTCTTCCCACATTTTCAAGTCATTTGTTATCTGTTACTGTACAGAACCATGGCAATATGGAATTTATCTGTTAGCTGTAAGTGTTCTTTACCTCTACAAAGCAATCATCTTTCATTCATATTTCAAAAGAATTGTTAATACATTTTTTAGATTTAAATCAATTTGTTAAAACCAATCAAAATAATCCATACATGGCTTAATAATTAATAGATACAGCTCTTTTACTTAATAGTTGATACCTGTTGGCCAGTGACTGTTCAAGAATGACAGCTTTGCAATTGACTCCATCAGTTCTTGACGACTCACAAAGTTCTGAGTGATGACCATGCAATCATTATTGTGAGTCCCTGGGTTACAGACCAACTAATATCAATAATGCGCAGATCAATTCAAAGCTTTGACATCCCCCCCCAACCTGGGGTCACCCACAGGCATTTGACCATTATCCCTGCCTGGGGGGGGAGAGAAATTATGCTGGTGGCTTAAATTTTAAATGAGACAGCTCAAAGGTGGTGAATGATTGTAAGTGTGTAACCTCGGAAGTACCCATTGTGCTTTAACAAGCGATCCCTGGCCAGAAAATCCAGCCGAGGATTGCTGCTTGTTCATCCAGTGAATTTTGCTGGAAGCTGGCAATTAGCAACAACCCTGATTCCCTTCTTGCCTGATTATTTACCTCCAAGTGGCCATGGTTGAAGTTCAACATGCTACTCACTAGTTCACAAAATGTCTCATTATTAACCATTAAAAGTGTCCAATAATGAACAAGAATCAAAACATGGACATCGCATTTGTATAAATTATTTTGGTGAAACTATAGAATAAACCCCCAATTGTGGACTTAATATATAACACTTCACCAAGATCATGGCATTTCATACCTTCAGCCCTAAGAGCAGCTTTCAGAAACAAGGAAATCCAATCCCCAAACTGAGATTGTGGGTCTTTTAAATTAAACACAGCAAGAACCTAGAGATATATCCAAAGATAAGCTATTCCATGATAAAGATATGAAAATTAGTTTGAGCACATTGTATCAAAAAAAAACAAACAAACAAACTAATGAATGAAAGGTATTTAAATTTGTTCTAATCATATCACTTGTGATCTACACACATTACTGATTAGAACTAATGAGTAGTCATCTGTTTCCTGGATAACATATTATTTTGTTTCTAACACATCTTAGCGGGCCAAAATCTTAAATCCTCAAATTTGACTGGCCAATTGTGTGATCAGACCTAATCTAGCTCTTTGTAATAAAACCCCCAATCCTTTTTGGTCACTCCGAGGAGTTCAGTGGCTAGAGGGTTAAATTTTGTAAACTAATAGCAGGACAGTGAGAATTGGGGAGTGAACTGATGATATTTAGCATTTAGGTATTTATTTATATACTATAATTCACAAAGGTTTCTCATCACTGTGAATTTGCATGTGAAAAACTAAAAACTACAAGAAATAAACAGTGCTATAACGTTGCAAGGAGAAATAAGTAAATGCATGAATAATAATAATAATGACAATAATAATAAATATACAAAATCACTGGAGGGAACTAAGATAATTTGTTATAGTAGATTTAAAATCGTCCACAGATGGCTGGTCTAACAAAAAAGAAGGTAGTGTGTTCCATTCTTTTATAGTTCTGGTAAAGAAGTTATAGACATTACTGTTACTGCCAATGTTAATGAATTTACTGCTATGGTAGGAGTGTGTAACACGTGTGGGCCACGCTATGTACTTTGGGATATTGACCGCAATTTTTTTCTTCACTATCTTGTACATGGTAGTAAGTCTCGCAATTTTGGTAAAACATTTTTCTTAACTGCAGCCACACCTTTCTGACTCCATTGGGTAACCATTGCCTCTCAATAAAATCCTTGCTATCAACAAGATGAGAGTTGCTGAACGGATCATCAGTTCCAGAATCCCTTTCTTTCATGTAATGATGAACTTCTTTGCCCACATGTCTTTCTAGAAATTTTACGTTCTTTATGGTGTTGAGGAGCCAACAAGGTTTCCCTAGAAGATCAATGGTTAAAATTTTAGGTTAAGTGGTTTTAACTTTGATAGAAACAAATAGAATTCTATCCAAGATGGTCTATAGATTTCATTCTAGAATCTTAATGGATTCATCTATCTTTTTATACCCCTTCCCTAGAAACCTTTAAAAGGTGTTCACCTCAGTGGGTAATGTAGTCTGTTTTGGACAATATAATTTGGATATATCAACAAAGTTGAAATGTTAAATTAGCCACCGTAATGATTACAAAAGCTGACGTTTCGAGCGTTAGCCCTTCGTCGGAGCAAGGGCTAACACTCGAAACGTCAGCTTTTGTAATCATTACGGTGGCTAATTTACCATTTCAACTTTGTTGATATATCCAAATTATTTCGTTACTCCCACCGACACAGCCCCAAACAGTTTCTTTCGAAACTATCAGCCTTTATTCATTTGTGTTTTGGACAATACCTTGTAAAGCTTCTGAATGCTGCTTGCATTGTGGAAAGTCGCATCTTATGTATCTTGTGTCTGGAGATGTGTCAAAAGCAAAAACAGTACTGGAGAACCGCGTCAGAAGTTCTTGAGTCTACAGGACAACATACAGAAAATTAAACACAAATAATTACCAGGACAAGAAAATGAATGAATCTGAATCACGCAGACAAACAAAAAATGATATGTCTGCTATTATGCATAACGAAACGTTCAGATTTCGCTCTGTAGATGACCAGCTATCGTTCTCTACATGCAAATGCCACGGCAGCTGTACCTCAAAGTCACATCACACCTTGATGCACTTTAACTTGTGCTTGGTGTTCTCAACAAATTTCATTGATTGGAATTTGACACGTTGATTTTCATTCAATAAAAGATTCAAGTTAGAAGTTACAACTCTCCATGGACTAAAAAATAAACACGGGAATCCTTACCTTCGTAGCATTGCCGTTATCTTCTCCTTTTGATCTTACTGTTTGGTCCGCCATCTTGGACCATGTTGGTGCCCGCAGCAGCACGATGTCTTCCAGCGGTATTTCCATGACGGCAATTTTCAAAACAAAATGGCGGGCATCTCGAACTCGGAAACGAAGCAAGTTTTGTTAGCTTCAGAGGCAGAATTGTACATAGAGGAGCTGAAAACATATCCTTTGAAGGAAATAGGAAGTCCAAAGTGAGTGTATACTAAGTTTTTTTTTAGAGCTTTGAGTGGAGTATTTCAGATTTTGATCACTCCCAATTTTTTCGCAAGTAAGGTATGAAACTAAGATTATAAACAAATGTGTCCTTCTCATTTTGCCCAGATGGATGAGTCAACATGAATACATAGAAAAGCTTAACATGCAGGTGAGAGTGTGAGCTAAATTGCTAACCCTTAGGCAAATCATTATTGGCCAAAGATTTTCCTAAATGAACTGTGCCTAGGGGTATATTCTTATCAGTATTTTTTGTTTGACAGGCAATAATAAGCGCTTCATCGCAAGCAGACGAATTTATCAAGGAACTGCTCATAACCTTGGAGAAGGTGCCCACTCAAAGTCAATTGAATTTATTGATAGCATTTGTCTATAACTTAAAAATTAATCTGGTAAAACATATTAATTATTTGATAATTAATAAATTGGTAGTGTCATGAATTTATATGATATATGTTTTTAAGAATCATAGCATTCCATGAATAGCTGTTATCTGAGCTAAGAGACATTACTGCAATCATGCACTTGTGAGTTCCAGACTTTTGGTTGTTTACCTCAAACTCCCAATATCTACAGCTGATTGTTAATTCTCCCCTCTTGCTGCTATACATTTTCTTCTTAAGTATAGTTACAAGAATTTGATGTTAGATCAAGGTAACAACTTCTAACTGATAAGTTTGAGTATTCTCATTACCTCTTTACTGGATAATATATGGATATTACAAGGAGAAGTTACCTGTTAATCACTTCTCAGGGAAGTTTTAAGGGTTAATGCCATTTGGGGCAGGTGGCTATGGGTAGTTGTGTAGCCGTGAGGTCTCATTAAGTTATGGTATACTTGGCAGACTGGAGAATGGATTGTGGCTGTTTTTAAGACTACTACCTGATTAAGAACCTTCTATTTTGAGACCTGGACGACAGAGCTGAATAACGGATACGCATGCGCCAGGTTTTGCTGTGGAAACACGGATTTTGAGTAGTTTGCATGGTTGATTTCCTATTCTGTTGCTTTGAGGCATCGTTTTCCTTGCCGCTTTTCTTTTACAGAACAACCTCCAAAAATTTGGTACACCCCCTAAAAGTTTTCAAAAATTAATTTTCTCCTTTAAACCTTTGGAAATAGGAAAGTGCCTACGATGAAAACAGAGTTCCTCAGTTTTAAAGGTCAGCCCTTATTATTTTCCACTAATTTCGCAAAATTTTAGACCAAGGACACTTGAGCCTGCGTTGTTGACCGCATACCCGCTGACGTAGCATTTCATTATTCAGCTCTGTCGACCTGGACAGGTCAATGATTGGGTTTAATGGGTAAGAAGTCACCTTTACTCTCCTTGTGGCTCCCTCTTGATACTGGCAAACTGGCAGGGACACCTAAAAAAAAAAATAGTGGAAGAGGAATACCCTGAGGTAACTAGCATCTCATCTAGGGGAACCACAAGTAGCAATACTTTTTAAAGCCATTAATCATGCTAGGAAAAAAACAGGAATAAGCTTTGGCCAGATCAGAAATATGACCATAGATGTTACTTACCTTAGCTGCTTTCCTTACAAACAGATCCCTGTTCTGATTCACGAGTTACTAGCTGTGGAGCTTTGGAAAAGCAAGGTGTTTCCAAAAATTTTAGAGTCAGGCTTCAACCCATCAACAACCTTACCTATTTACTTTGTGGTAAGTATCACAATTGTGCTGTGTTCACCTGAAGGTACAATGTTTTAAGAATTTTTTTGAATCTCCCAAATTCCTGCCAAACTGTACTAGTTTTAAGTATTTTTATTGATTTGAGATTTTCATCTGGAAGACTTTGTGGCATAATGGTTGGCAAGCTGAACCCTAAATTCATAGGTTCTGGATTTGAGCCATCTACTAACATATTATGGCAAAGAATCTCTTCCACCAACACTGCGTTGAGCGATCTCTTACCTCCCCAGAGAACACAGCAGTTGAGAACTAGGTTGCATAATTATATTTTACCTAAGGTTCAGACAAGCCGTTTTAAATCAGTTTTTATTAATTAATAGATGTCTTTTCAGTAGTAATTAATACCTTTTCTTTTTCTGTATTCATTCTATTCATGTTAATTGTTGCACGTCTGTTTGCAAAATAATTCTTAATAAAGACCTTTATTATTACTTGTAGTTGGAGTAGACATATTTTCTCCCAATTGCTTTGGGCTCCAAAAAAGTTGGGGCAAACAAGTGCAGGCTCTTAAAGGCTTTTTAGCCCCTAGAGTAACAAATTACCAGTAACCTAAGATCTACCAATGAACTAAGATCTTCTGCAGCCTTCTAGGACATTGTTAAAGTAGTGATTAATGCAGCTGCTTCTTGGCAGCTCAAATACTTCCTAATTTAAAAGATATTTTGTGACACTGCAATATTAAATTAGAGAGCAGGGCTGGGTTGTTCAAAGCTGTGTTAAGATAACCCAGGGTTAGTGTGAAATTTGATTTCAGATCTGAAAGCTCTGAAAGAAAATTCAGCTTAATTCCATTTGTCTACAATTTGATGATTGAATGTCCTAAAAAGAACTAGGAAAATTATCTCAAAATGGCTTTTGGTGAGAGAAATTTAGAAACCTGGATTAAAATTTAACCCTGGGTTAGAGCTAATCGGCCTTTGAACAACTGGGCCCAGGAGAAAAGACAAATTCTGCTTGTTGTGTTATGAAGATCTAGTCATTTTTTTTTTTTGCCATTTTCTAGCTTTTTCATGAAGCAACAGTCATAAGCCTGTTGGAAACTGTTCTTTATCATAAGGTAAGGTTAAATGTGGTATCATCTGTGCATCCATCTTCCGATAGATCATAAGTTAAGTGAGAACCAATCAAAGTGTGGATAGAATTCAGCTCATCCTATTAAACCCTTAACTCCCAAGATTTAGATCTGATTGTTAATTCTCCCCTCTAGCTGTTACACATTTCCTTGTAAGTTAGTTATGAGAATTTGGTGTTAGATTAAGATAACACTTGTACCTGATAAATTAAAGTATTTTCCGGCATTCTCTGTTTGCTGGATAATGTATGGATATTATACATACCTACAGACATAGGTTAATTGACCACTCCCCGTAAGGGCTTTTCAGGGCCAACACCCACCCATCCCACCCAAGGGGAGGACATCCACCACACAGTAATCTCATGCGTGGGAAATTAACATCTCCTACCCCTAACCCTGCAGGAGACGGGGCCTACGGTTTATTCGTCCTTATCTGAGAAGACTAGCCAGAATATCTATTCATTTCTTGTTAAGGAAAGGTAGCAAATTCTCCTCAGTTATTTTAAGACCATGAGTATTGGTCCAGCCGCAACTTGAACCCTCAACCTCCCACACAACACAATCCGGCACTCTAACCAATTGAGCTATATTCTACGCGCCTGAGCGTATATAAGGAGAAGTTACATGTTGATCTCTTCTGGGAGTTAGATAGTTTGATAGCCCTAGTGTATGAACAACTCTTTGTACTGCTGTCTGAATGAATAGACTGACATGAGTGCATTTTATCATAGGAATGTAAATGCAGATTTACATCAACATTGTAATAAAATAAGTAGTACTGAGACCCATTTTTGAGATCTAGGTTATTATTTGAAAAATTATGGTCACTGGTAAATCAGATCTTTTGGAGAAGAGTAACAAAGAACAATTAACAGTTGTTTTGCCTTTTGCATTCTGCAAATCCTCCAGAATCATCAAAGTGAAAGCTTACAGTACAGAATTCAAACTCTTTTAGTAAGAGGATATATGTTGTATCCACAGGAAGCGTGTGAAGCAGCTGGTGACAGCATTCTTGATCTGGCCGATTACTGCCTTAGAAGAATATCACTGCTTATTGCTCAGTATGTACTAATGTTGGACTGGTTTTAGGGAACATCCAGGATGTTTATCAAATCATATTTTCCAGTTTGTGTTATTGATACCCTCAAATGAATTCGATTCTTTTTTGCGAGCTTTGAAACAAGCAACTGATTTGTTATTGAATGTGAAACTTTAAACTCAAACTTACAGACATGATGAGGTTAACAGAGAATCAACAGATTGCTGTGATAATCTCTCAAGCATAGAGGTATTTTTTTATCTTACTGTATGAATTTGATGTGATAAAGTAAAGAATGAGTAATGTTCAGTGTTTTTTTATACAGAACTTTTGTTGCAAGTCAGAGTAAAGTAACTTTTAGCAGCTTTCTTTACTTCTTAATTGCACCTAAGAATTCCCAGCATTTTATTTCTCCTAATTGCAAAATCAACTCTGAATCATGCATTAAGGTGATGAGAATAAAGAAAATGATCAGCAACTAAAGAAGCTCTTGATTGTGAAACAAATTCTCCTTGTCAGCACCAAAGGAAATGTATAGAGTAGAGTATGGAGAAAGTAGATAATGATATTAAGCAGTAAATTTTAGCCACAAAATTGTGTTTGTAAGCCAGAGAAGTCTTTGTTTTCTAATGTCTAATTGACACCTTGAATGGTGATATAATTGATTTTTCAAGGTTAACTAATATGTAAGAAAGCCTTTTTTATGTTCTTTCAGGAGTTAAAGAAACAAGATAAAACAATATTCTTTACTGTTTGTATCAAGTCAGTGTCAATTCTTAGATACATCACAGACTCTCTATCAAGGTAACTCAAATTATGAATTAAACAGAAATTCTAGTTCTGATGATTTGACTTTTGTAACTGTTGTTTTTTTTATCCATTCACTTCCCAAACTTTCAAAAGGCCCGTGATAGTAAAGATCTGCATTTTTTTTTTTTTGTAGTTTACCCTTGAGTGTCATGACAAGGCTTCTAAACACTCACAGTAAGTAG